AGGACCTGTAGTCCCAATAGGGTGTGGCAAACCTCTGTTGATGTTTTATTCTTTCTTTATCCTCTTACCTTTTCGTTAGGTGGATGTAAGCAGTTGTAGGAAGTGCACTGCAGAATGAGGTAAATAAAGCCTCAATGCTTTGGCTAGAGAACTGCACAGAGGAGGAAAGTACAGGCAGAAAGGAGCTCGGAAAACTGAACCCATAAAATGGTTTATAAACCTCTGGACTCATTCCCAAGCTGTGCATGTATGAATCTGATCCTAAAGGGAATACCATAAACTTTGAGAACTGAGCTATAGCAGAGATCACTTTCTGAGTTCCAGACTGGCCACCGAAAGGTAGAAATATGAAGCAGGTCCAAACAGAACAGAAAGGCAGTGAAACAAAACTGAAATTGAAACCACAGGCTTAGTTTGGAGCCGTCATCCCAGTAGGTGAATTGCCTGTTGAAGCACAAATAACATAATACATGAGATTTCAACAAGATCTAGAATTGTATAACATAATATTTGAAACATCCAGGATGTAATTTGTTAAAAGCAAATTTATGACATTTTCTGATAGGATTTTCAATACAAGTAGAGGTAATGCAACATGAAGGAGGGCGGGTAATGGGCCTAGATGATGGTAAGGTGTCTATTTCCCACTTGAAGTGGCACACTATTGATTCTGAGTAGAACGTGAAAATTGTGTGTAATATTTTATTCCATTGAGTAACCATTAACATGAACAAACAGAACATCAAATATCGTGAAAACATGATGGACATAGAAATACTATTCAGCCTGTAAAAAGAAGGAATTTCTACAATGGGTCACAGTATGGACAGACCTTGAGGACAGTATGCTATGTGAAATAAGCTGGATACGGAAGACAAATACTGCATCATTTCCTTTATGTGAGGTACTAAAATAGTCAAATGCATAAAATCAAAGACTAAAATGGTGGCTGGAGGCTGGGGAAAATAGGAAACTCTTAATAAATAGACACAAAATATCAGATACGTGAAATGAGTAAGCAGTAGATGTCTGCTGCACCACATTATGCCTATAGTCAACAATAATGTATTGTACATGTAAAATTAAGGTGATAGGCCTTATGTTGAGTGTTCTTTCCACAATAAAAATGTTTTGATGGAATAATCAAAATGTTTACATAATCCAAAAGGAGGGAAAAGAAAAACAGAGGAACAAAAACTAAGAAAATAAATAGAAATCAAATAACAAAAAGGTAGACGTAAATCCAAACATCATAATAATTACATTAAGTGTAAAATTTCTAAACACAATAATTAAAAGACAGAGATTATTAGAATAAACTTTTATAAATTTATTTAAAATCATCTTCAGTAAGCCCTTTATCAGATCTGACTTGATCAAAATCAGATTCAGCTAATTTACTGTCTTCAAAGTTAGTGAAATCTTGGTCATTGTCTTGCATTCTCAGCACATTATCTTTTGCAAGCTTATCTGAACAAGAAATTTAATCCTCTTATAATAAAAATGCTTTGAGTATAATGGTATAGGTAGGTTAATAAGATATAATTACATGAACATTAATTAAAAGAAAGTTAGAGTGCATATATATAAATGTTATTTATATATTCTTTAGAAATGAATAATATATTAATAAATATATATTTATATGATAAATATGTTGTTTATTATTTATTTTATATACA